GAGCATGCACCTGCAAGAGCGAGTCACTGCTTTGATGTTTGCAGAGAACGACAGGGTGTTGTCCAAGGTCACTGCACTCTGGGAGGGCGACACTGTGTAGTTGTCAACCGTGATATATTCTGAATCAGGGGAGGATTAACAAATATTCAATGCTTTTTTGGGGGTGGAAATGTTGATATACAGTACCAGTCAAAAGTTTGGATACACCTACTCATTTAAGGGTTTTTCTTTATTTTTAAACTATTTTCTACATTGTAGAATAATAGTGAAGACATCAAAACTATGAAATGACACATATGGAATCATGTAGTAACCAAAAAAGTGTTTAACAAATCAAAATATATTTTATATTCAAGATTCTTCAAATAGCCACCCTTTGCCTTGATGACAGCTTTGCACACTCTTGGCATTCTCGCAACCAGCTTCACCTGGAATGCTTTTCCAACAGTCTTGAAGGAGTTCCCACATATTCTGAGCACTTGTTGGCTGCTTTTCCTTCACTCTGCAGTCCTACTTATCCCAAACCATCTCAATTGGGTTGAGGTCGGGGGATTGTGGAGGCCAGGTCATCTGATGCAGCACTCCATCACTCTACTTCTGGGTAAAATAACCCTTACACAGCCTGGAGGTGTGTTGGGTCATTGTTGAGAGAATGGAATGCCAAGATGTTGTTTTTGCTTTCAATATTCAATAGGTATTACACAAGTGTGCCATAACTATGAAAATGATATATTCTGAATAAAAAATTTAAAATGTCAAATTTTGTCAGTCCTCCCCCGATTCAGGATATATGATTTTCATAGTTATGGCACGCTTTGTGTAAGAGCATCATCCACTTTCCCGGTCCAGTATTGTTTTCATTCTTGCCAGTAGCTTTCAGTTGGCACTGGCCCGGTGTGCCTCTGGCAAATTTACCTGAATGTCAAGCCCTGCAAGGTCATGCTAATTTAAAAGATGGCTAGTCATTATTAACCTGGTTCTCTATGGAATGCAGGTACATTATGGGACACAGGTCAGGACATTATCGCTGCGCAGCGAGGAAAAATTGGTGTGACCAAATCATGTGCTGGTGCCATCAACTGAAAAAGTTGGTAGCCTCAGTGCCACCGGTGGATAAAGTTAGTCTAGAACCCTGGATAAAGTATGGTCACATTTTATTTGCTCTGTTAAACCTAACCTTTTGAATGACTTTGATAGCAACAGTGAATCTAATTAGTTTTTTAAGTAGAGATCTCTCAACAATCATTCTCACGATAGCGCATTGGTAATAATCAGTAACAAATATCATGGTTGGGCATGATTAAAACCCTGGATGGGAGACCAAAGGGTAGCTGTAGATCAGGGTTGCCCAACCCTGTTCCTGGAGAGCTACTCTCCTGTAGGTTTTCGCTCCAACCCCAGGTGTTACTAACCTGATTAATCTTATCAACCTGCTAATTATTAGAATCAGGTATGCTAGATTAGGGTTGGAGCAAAAACCTACAGGACGGTAGCTCTCCAGGAACAGGGTTGGGCAGTCCTGTTGTAGATAGATCAATTCTCCAGTATGAGGTGCTGCCCAGCCTATAGTTTTTTTTCTGATAGTGTATATAACGTTGAAGATCTGACATTGTTTCAAAGGTACAAATTCATCATATTTTAGGTTTATCTATGTTGAAATTTGGTTACCATGATGATATAATCCTGTTGATGACTTTTTTCCAATCCAATGTATTTTCCATGTAGATTCCACATCACAATACGTTGACAAATTACGTTGAAACAATGTTGATTCAACCAGTTTATAGACTGTGGGTTGGCACAATTTACAATGGGTATGGAGTAGCCCAACCGGCCCTAAAAAAATGGCACTATTATTCTTTTTACGTCGTTTGTCATCTTACATCCGACTTTAATGTGCTCAGCCGGCAATACAGCCGTGTCCCCCATTGCCCAGCTCGTACATTAAACATCCTCGATTCAGGCTGCAAAGGCGTCGGTTTCCTCCTCAACTCGACTTAATGGCTTTTCGGTTTTAAAAAAACGGTGAAAATATTTGTACTGTCTTAATAAATCACAATTTTCCACCACCATTTTCACATTTTCTGAAAAGTTCTGGATGTTGCACACCTCGTGAGTCTATTGTTTACCCCTGGCTGAACGCACACCACAACATCAGGAAGTTGGGGGGCTGGGCGTTCCTCATTGAAGACCATGTATGTTGCATTGATCCGATCTGTAATATACTATGGCAGTATAGCATATGGTTCGGCAGCCCGGACCTCACTGGAAAGGCTAGATGTCATACAGGGGCAAGGACTCAGAATATGTAGTGGGGCGTTTCGGACGTCCCCAGTGGCTGCATTACAGGTGGAGATGGGGGATATGCCATTGCAGATTAGGAGACAGCAGCTGGCAATGAATTATTGGGTCAACCTACAAGGACATGAGGTGTCTCATCCTGCGAAAGGGATTTTACAGGCATGCTGGGAACATGAGCGAAGACAGAACATGAGCTTTGGGTGGGTGGGTGGGTAATACCCAGGCGAAGGAGATGGGACTGTATGGAAGGGAGTTTAGTCCAATGGTAGTTATTCCTGTAAATCCACCATGGCTACTCCCGCCTCCAGTAGTTGATCTAGAAGTGTTGGAGAGACTACAGAAAGATAGGGAGGGTGTTGATCCATCTGATTTCTTTAAGAGACGTCTGGAAACTGTGTATCAGGATTTTGTGGCCATTTACACAGATGGTTCAAAAGATCCAAGGACAGGACGTACTGGGTCAGCATTTGTAGTGCAAGAATGTGGGGTGGAAGTCAGGAAAGGTATTACAAATCATCTGGTTGTATATACGGCGGAGCTGATGCCCATACTGGTGGAGGAAGTCAAACAAGACAGAGTAGTTATTTGCTCTGATTCATGTGCAGTGTTAATGAGTCTCCAGTCCTTTAGCTCACGTAGCAGACAAGACCTGCCTGTCAGGAAACAGAGACCTTGGAGCATGTATTGCTACAGTGTGGGCAGTATCAGGGGGAAAGAGAGAGGATGAGATCTAGTTTGAGGGAGAAGGGGATACAGTAAATTAGTTTAAAGAGTATATTGATTAGAACGTCATTAGATATAGTCTCTAATATTTTGTTATCTTTTTTAAGAGCAACGGGGCTGGCAGGTATGGTTGAGTTTCTCCGTCTCTGGCCTACACTCCAGTACAGTAGGTGGCGGTAATGCACCATAACGTTGGATGCCAACCCCCGATAAACCCCACTGAAGAATAAGAAGAACACCAGGAAGTAGCATTAGCCACCCTAGCTTGGTGTTGGAAAATTGTGTTTTATTAAGACACTACGCATATTCTCTGTTTTTTTTCCACCGACGAGCCATTAAATCCAGTTAAGGAGGAAACCGATGCCTTTGCAGCCAGAATGGAGGATGTTTTATGTACGAGCCAGTCCATGGGTGGACACGAGTGTATTACCATCTGGGCTGAATGCGTTGGCACCTAGAGGTAATACGACATCAGGAAGAACTACGCCCACTAGGAGTCGTGGCCATAGGTATGGGATAAATTGACAATAGGGACACATTTCTAATTCATAAAAAAATTGCTGCTCACGTTAGTTTTTGGTTCATAATCTGCTTTTGCTTTTTAATTATCAAGATTTATTCAAACAGCAATGGGTATGCAGACCAGGTATTCAAAAAGTTTGGTCCGAAGTCTTGGTTGAATTTCTGCAATGCGCAATTCAGTCATCATTTGCTGTTTGAATGAACATTTCTAAAAGCTTTCTCAAAAAATCTTCCCAATTAAATGTTGACTGCAAAGTAGGCATACCTGGCAGAATTATGTCATAATGATTTGTATCAATCGCGGGGCATTTGGTTAGCAAATTCTGCCATCACATGTAGCCTACACTGTACATTGTACAGTTGAAAAACATCGCTAGCCAAACACAATCTTCTCTCGCTAGGCGCGCAATTGAATTAAAGGGCAACTACACCCTCCAAATGTATTTTATTGAATGTTCTCACAACTCAAAGGTGGTCTCCTGATGTGGTTTAAGCATTGTTGTGATTTTGAGAATGAAAACTTGAAAAAACGAGGAAGACTCGATAACCAGAAAACATTTAGCGGGGAAAACAGAATTGACCAAAATAGTGTATTACAATCTGGGCTGACTCGAAACCTAGAGGTAATACGACATAAGGAAGAACTACGCCCACTAGGAGTGTCTGCGCTAGGTCTCGGCGATAAATTGAGAATAGGGACACATTTCTAACACTTTGAATTTTTGTTGTACACTTTTAACATAGGCTCAGGCCCTGGTGTAACCTCATATCCCAGCGATAATGCGTTGCATTATGCCTGGGAATAAAACACTTAAATTGTGGTTTAGAGGCAACTTGGCAAATCACACATGCGAGGTGTCTTCCATTCATATTATGCATAAAACTGACAAAATGTATTCATCATTTGTATGGGTTATATTGATTAGCCATTTGCTCAACTTGCCAAATGGCACAATTTACCCCAAAATAACCATTTTGACTATATTAGCCCACACAGCTACAAGGATGCACTTTCATGCTAGGTTTAGGACCTCATATTGTAGCTTATAGAGACCCCAAATGATGTATGAAACCGTCTTAAAACTATGTATTTTGGCATAGATACAAGCCTCATGAAACCTATAACACAATAAAATCATTGGACTTGATGAATAACATTTTTTGACCTCAATTTTTCCATGTGGTTTCTTCACTCACATACTCCATAAAATGATGACCTCTTCCTAAATATTTGGTCACATTATTAATTTGGTGTATAGTTTCCTAGAAACAAAGAGTGGCTCAACTAACCCTTTGGCATGACTTACCCCACTCTGCCTTACAGTTTTGGCTAAACTTTTGAGCAACTGAAATTGTCTATTATTTGTTGTTAAACAGCTGCACAAATACAGCATGCAATTGGAAAGTTTAGTTTTTGGTGAAGGAATGTGTCCCAAGCAATTCTATGGTGACAGGGCAAAAACTGTACCCTTCTCACCTCCTTCCCTCAGGAGACAGCTCACTGCAGAATGAGTCCGCACATTGCTGCCAGAGTGGTGGTGGTTGGTGCTGGTCTAGCAGGCTTATCTGCAGCTTCCACCCTGGTGAAAGCTGGCTTTCAGCACATCCAAGTCCTGGAGGCTATGGGCAGGCCTGGAGGCCGGATCTACACCACAAGACCCTTTGGCCAGAATGTCATTGAGCTGGGGGCCAACTGGATCCACGGTCAGGAGGCTAACCCTCTCTTCCTGCTAGCCCAGGAGCGGGGCCTGCTGCTGGAGGAGAGAGGCTCAGCCAGCATCATGTGCCTGCCAGGCTCCGTCACCCCTAGGGACTATTTCTTCCGGGAGAGCGGGCGACAGCTGACGGTGGACGAGGTGGAGCAGGTATGTTCCTTCTTCAGCGGGCTCACCTCCAGGGCCTTCGGATCAGAGCTGGAGCCAAGGCACAGCAGTCAGAGCCTGGGGGGCTACCTGGACGAGGAGTTCGCCCAGTCACCCCTGGCGGCCTCGGAGGATGGCCAGAGGGTCTTCGAGTGGTGCAAGAGGAGCGAATGCACAGATGAGGCCAGCTCCTCCCTCTATGAGGTGTCCGCCTCGCAGCTGGGTCACTATGTGGCCTTGGAGGGGGGCTTCTTCAATTCTCTGGGCCCCGGGGGCTATCAGGCCCTGGCAGACACACTCTTGGACAACCTTCAGCCTGGAGCTGTGCTGTGTGACAGGCCGGTACACAGCATCCACTGGGGCCTGCAGGAGGAGAAGAACCACACCCATCCAGTCAGAGTGCTGTGCAAGGGGGGCCAGTGCTTCACGGCAGACCATGTCATCGTGACCGTCCCTTTAGGCTTCCTGAAAGAGAATGCGGCGGCCATGTTTGAGCCAGCCCTCCCCAAGTCCAAGGCCGATGCCATCGAGAGACTGGGCTTCGGCACGGTGGACAAGATTTACCTGCGGTTCGAGGACAGGTTCTGGCCCCACGACTGTGCTGGGATCCAGCTGGTGTGGGACGCGGGGCCGGAGGATGAGGAGGTATACCAGCACTCTCGGTCAGAGGGTGGGGCCTGGAGAGACATGTGGTATAAGAAGATCTGTGGCTTCGACACGGTGGCCCGCCATCCCACAGTCCTCTGCGGATGGATTACAGGCCGGGAGGCCCAACACATGGAGAGCCTGGAAGAGAAGATGGTGGGAGAGGTGTGTGTAAGGTGTGTATCACATCTGCTTATCAATCAGGTGCACAGGTCAAAGGTTCAATAATTGGGTGTGTGGGAGAGAGGTGTGGCCATCATATCTCATCACTGAAATATGTGACATTCATGTTGAACCTTTCACCCTGTCTTTAAGGTGGTGTCTGTAGATGGCCTCAGATTCCATGCTTTTATACCCTTAAACGCCCTACAATGGTTTACCACACTAATATTTAAGGACATTTTAATCTGCTATTGTTTTGTGCTTGATGCCAAAGGTGAGTTTTTAAAGAAAACAACCTATTTTGCAGCATTCAAGCATGAGCTATTGCTCACCAAGCAAAAAAACTGTGAGAATGCATGCATGAAGAATTAAATCAGAAACACACACTGTCATCACTTTTGATTATATTATTAGTCAGCTATTATTTTGGCAGACTGTATTTGCATGTTCAGGATGAGTAACAATCAGGCTTGTGTTTTGACAGACTGCTCAGGTCCTTCACTGGCTGGTCAGTACCAGAGCCAGCCCAGGTCCTGATGTCCAAGTGGGGGAGTGAGCTTTTTGTCCGTGGGTCCTATACGTACCCCCCTCCAGGAGTGGACGCTGTGAGGGAACACACAGCCCTGGCAGCCCCTCTTCCTCTGCCCTGTGAGGCTGGACACTCACAGGCAAAGGTACAGTACATGACGTTCACAACCCTTCCTGAACTCACATGATTCTGACAACAACTTGAATGTGTAGTTGGCAACACTTTAAAATGAAGATAGAAATATGCTTAATGTTACTAGAAGCTAACTGCTCATTATTGCAATAACTAATATCTTTGTCATACCTACTTCCTAATAACATGTTAGTAAGCATGTACAGTAGTTTGACATGGCTGATATTGGTACACACACAGTCAAGTTTGTAAGACTATGAACCAGTGATATGTCTCTAAGTTAGCTAACTTGCCTTTGAGACGGCATCAATTAAGCCATTTTATCACTCAGAATGATCTCAGTCAATGTTAATTTTATGGTTGGCAAGCTGACCCTTAATCAGAGTTTATGGAGAAGATATTTCCGCTCAGTATCTGCAATTGAAGCCAAGATCATATACCAAATACCAACAGAGTTGGCGGTGCTTTGTAGACTGTGACCTCTTTTTTTAACAATGCGTTGTAGAATTGCATAATATACACACGTGATTTACGGTAAAGATAATACTCAGGGACCAAAGTTTGTGTGTTAGTCAGTCCTGGGGTCAATTCAGTTTTCAATTTAGTCAGTTAATTCAGTGAATTAAAATGATATTCATGAATTGGAAATTGTCCATTGTTTTCTATCAAGATTTTTCAATTCATGAATAGAATTTCAACTTACTCCCTGAATTTAATACTGAATTGATCTCTACTCTGGTCTCTGTCTGTTCAGCCTCTTCAGGTGCTGTTTGCTGGCGAGGCCACCCACGTTAGCTTCTACACCACCACTCACGGGGCCTACATGACAGGCATCAGAGAAGCACAAAGACTCATTGACCTTTACACCGAGAAGGAGCCCGATTCCTATAACTAGTGATACACAAAACGCCTAATTACTAAGAACTCCAGCTTCACAACAGGTTACTGATACTGATGAAATTACCATGAATTGTGATTGATATCTAGTACGCAGCTGCTTGAAATCATTAGAATGTCACCACTATGGATTCAGCTGTGGACTTTGGTCTCCATCATGCGATTGTGTTAAAGTTGAAGTGCATTGTAGTTGTATGTCTCGATATCAGTCCTTTCCTTTAGGGATTGGTTAACATACTAATACTACCTCACTCATAATGTAATGACCTCGTTCCTTCTTTCATGTAAATTGAAACTGTAGCTGTAATTCATTGACACCTTTTTATTTTTAACACTAATATATTTTTGTGATGAATAAACTTGATATAAAATGATTAATTGGATCCCAATTAGATACACCACACTTTGCCATTTGTTTTCACATTCTATTGTTTTGCACATATCAGTATGTGCAAAGGATTCATTATGATTTGCTGAAGGTATTGAACACACACAATGGGGAATAGGATCTTTATTGACTGCCATTGCAAATGAAGGGTCTTCATATAGAGATATATTAATTTGTTTATCCAACATAGCAAAAACTAAATACCCCAATAGTTATCTCCATTTGACAGTCATAATTTCATTGATACATTAGACCTCCACATTTATATTATGAAGCACATAAAGTACCTACACATTTTTATATTCCTGCATTTCAACATAAAACTAAGCCCTTGTGGTCCTCTGAAGATTACAAAGAGACATTTGAAGATACATTTTCAATATTAAGGCTAATTGTGGACATAAAATATAGAACCAATATAATATTCTGCGTATTCTTAAATGTCTGACAGGCACAGTACATATCCAGATATAATTCTGTGACACAAGTAGCAATTCAGGGGAAAAAGTGATGCAAATAAAGTATATGCTAAATCTCCAATAATAAAACGTGTAGAATCCTTTCTATCACCTAGAAATGTCCTCTTCATAACTTGATTGCCTAAATTATAACGGCAACATTTCAGAATCAAGAAAAAAATCATAGATTATTTGCAAGACTAAACCTAAGGCACTTTAATCTGTTTACAGCTATTTGAGAACTACCCACTCGTGCACACGTTCTCAGATTGGCTAAGAGTAGAAGTGCAAGGCTAGATGACAAAACACGAGGGGCCTACTTTTGAGAGCGCAAAAAAGCAGTGCTAGTGTCAACTGTTAACCATGTCTGAAATACTCCCTATACTTTTGTTTTAGTGGGCCTAATTTCAAAATCATGTAATATTTCTGCAGGTCTAAGATGCACAAATAACATTGCAGATTCAAGATGCAGAATTTAGAACTATTGCATTCCAAACTCCTTTTGAAATAGAGTATTTGAGGAGATTTGACAACAGTGCAGCTATTTTACGCTGTCAAAATGAGACCTGAAGTGTAGATATACTCCTAGAACAGACCCTTCTCTTTCTTCAAATTCTGCTGCTTCCAGTTGGGCATGGAGTAGAACTCTACCCTGGACACACCCAGGATCAGAGTGAAGTCATCATTGGAAAGATGCTCCTGGAAATGATAAAGGTATGGTATAGTTATAGTACATGATAAAATAGATGAGTGAGAACGATAAGCATACATTTAGCTGACAGCTACTCTGAAGTACAGACTGAAGCGAGGACAATCATGGAGTTCCAGTGTAGTTTACCTCTTTCTTGGTGGGGTCAACCCCATCGGGCAGGTCCTCTGTTTGGCAGTTCAACAGCTTTTCTGCAGGGAAGGTGGCCTGAACGGTAGGTTGCAACAGTGGTACTCCAATGTTTTTGGAGTTATTCTGAGTGGAATTGGATGTGGTTCTGTCCTGTAGCCACAAACAGACAGAGACCATTAATTTAACCGTTGCAGAAAATCATATCTGACTGGTTTCTGTGACAATGCCATAATTGTTCCTAAATGGCTAGGCTAGGTTAAAACACCAGGTCAAATGGTGGCTAGACCTTCGGCAACTTTGTTGGTGGACATTGTTTTCCGTGAGGCAGATTAACATTAACACTTAAATACATTTCCTTTGGGTTGCATACTGTAGATGCATTTGTAAAGCATGTTTACATGAGAACAGTTTCGTAAATCAGATGATGTTAGTGGGCTTGAGAGAGAGTAGAGACTCACCACGGTGATCTGGATGATGTCAGTGGCATCCCCAAGCTCAGCCTTCAATTCTTGGTAGGACTTCCCTCCCTGTGGACATAATAATCAGCTTGTTTAAATCAATATTTTGTGCCCTGAGTAAAGACACTTTGGTAATACTTGAAACCAACAGGTGTAATGCATTATGAAGCAGTTATAATACATTGTTAGACTTGTTATAAGCACATGACCATCCTACAATGTGTATTATCATCTCATAATTACTCATATTCTTGCTACATACACTCCACATGTGTGGGTCCCAGGCATGGAACCAGCCGGTGAAGGTGGGAGGCTCAAAGCCCTGTTTGATCATCACGATGGGGGTGTCCATATCCCGACCCCCTGGATGGCTCCTCAGGTACTCATGTGCCGTGGGGACCACATTGTCCTTCTCTATTTGATTGGCTCCCTTGCCCACCCACAGGAACACCTGAGTAAGAAGAGGTCAAGGGTTTGTAAGGAAGGATGTCCTCTCAGGACCGCTTGTGTTTCACAAGAACCAAACCTCCAGATCATAGATTGATAGTGGCCACCAAAAGACAATACAGTAGTAGCCTGGAACCCAAACGGAAACAATGGCTGAACATGGCACATCAGTTTGGATTCCATGCACAACCAATTGGCAAACGTACTGCAAATTGAGAAATCATGTGACTAAACTGAATAAAAAGAAGAAGAAACTATACTATGAAACAAAGATAAATGATATAAAGAATGAGCTTTGGAGCACCTTAAATGACATTTTGGGCAAAAAAGAAAACTCAGCTCCATCATTCATTGAATCAGATGGTTCATTCATCACAAAACCAATATTGTTGTATGGTGGTATTATACATTTTGTATTGTAGATATGTAGTGGTGTAATAATGTTATATGATGTACTGTTTAATATTTTGTTTTATGTGTGATGTAAGTGCCTTAATGGAAGAGTGGAAGAGTACCTTGGCAGCAGCTAATGGGGATCCCTAATAAATACAAATACAGGCTAAAAAGACAGGCCCTCACCATGTCCCAGATGTCGAGCAGCATGATGTCATCTTCGTCCAGGTCGTCCTGGTTGAAGTTTGTAATCTCCGTGGCCAGGAAGCGGCCCGTCTGATTGGAGCACTCGAAGAGACGTGGGGTGATGTTGCTGTGCTCTTCCTGAAGCCTTGGCAGAGACCACAGACGGACCAGGAAGAAGGCATCAAAAGGGGATGTAATTTTCAGTTGTAAACAATGTTTTGCTCAGTTCAGATGAACAGGCCCCTTAGGTAACTATAAAACCAAAGGATCAAGTGTAGTACCTCTTGCTGCTGGCATACTGGGACTTGCCTCCCAGATTGACCCAGAAGTGAGCCGGCTCCTGGCCCTCTGCAATGACCTGTTTTTCCCTCCTGGAGATTATGTCTGCCAGGGATTTGCCCATCTCTCGCTCATCGCCACTGCAGCCCTGCAAGGGATAAGGGTCATACCTGTCGCATAACTAGGTAAAGTACTGCCTTTGAACTCAGTACCGTCAGGCACCCATTCTTTTAAAGGGGGCACGAAGTATGTGCATTTCTTAAACACCTGAATCCGTTTTTTCCTGCACCCTAGAGCCATAATCATTATGCCTAATTCTATGTAAAAATATGTATATACCTGTTTAATTTTAATTAATCATGCACATTGATTATTTAAGATATTTTATGCCACACTTGTATATAGTATCATAACCCAAGAACATTTAGTACATTTAGTAATTTCTTGCTTTTCCAAAATTTTCTTTGCCTGGTACTTTTTGCCTGGTCCAATCATTGTGCCCCTCCACAAAATACCGCTGACAGATCTTTTTTATAGATAATTATGATAAAATGCGGGCTTAAAAATAAAGTTTTGTAATTAGCGTCAGAATCTTTCAAAAACTGGGCAAATCTGAGGGGGCACGTACCATTGTGCCCCCTATGGGCATGACACCACTGCTTGTACTCTCCTCATCAATGCTTAGCTGGAGACCTCTGCTTAACCTGGATTACAAGGTTATGGCGTTTTTGCTGCTTACCTTTCCGTACCACAGATAGCAGCAAGTGTCAGTGCTGAGCACAAAGACGTCGTTGGAGTTGAGGGACGAAGAGCGTGCTGGCACTTCGATGGCGCGGGTGTTGAACTCGTTGGTGCCGTGGATGTGGAAGAGACGAACTGCCGGCTGGACATGTTTAGAGTTGGCTCTGGAGCTCCCCTCCTGCAAACCATGATTACAATTGTAATGATGACATACAATCACATTCATTATGAGATTCCAATGAGAATCTTTTAAGACGATACATTTGAAACATTCCAAGAATTTCCTTGAAAACTCATTGACAAAGGAACACGTGGAGGGCTTACCTCATAGACCACCATCTTGCCCTTGAATATGGCCATGAGGTGGAGTGGTTCTTTTCCCATGGGCACTCGGACCTGAACTGGCTCCCCGTTGTACTGCCGGTCGATGTTCACGGCTTGGAAAGCAGAGGCAGCTAGCTCTCCCGTGGTCGCATGACGACCCTACATTGCACACATCAAACACATCATAGTTACCTATCTGCATAGGTTGCAGAAAGTAAGCCAGAGACTAAGTCATGGAATTAAGCTCTTCTCATATCAACGTCTTCTGGTATTAACAAAGCTTGATTGCCAGGCAGACAAAGAGCTATGCCGTAGAGGGAATGGTGGCTAGCAGGGTGCTCTGACCTGCCATATGTATAGCATGTAGTGACTCCTGTGGCTGACATCATATTTGTAGAGGATGAGATAGCAGTCGCCTCCATAGAAGTGGCCCAACCACTTCCTGTCCACAGGCACCAGCTCACTGTCCTCTAACCTCCACACCTGGTTGGAGGAAAATAGGACATGTTAGTTTCCATTGGATGAATAGTTTAAAGGGGAGCATTATGAATAATTATTGTTACCAACCAACCTCTGCTTCGCCTGTTCCGTCGTCCACCATTTTCTGCTGGGCAGCCAGGTCAGGCCTTGCATGCATGGAAGTTGCATCAAACTTGATCTGCTCAACCTTGGCTGCATTGTCAAGAAAACACATTTAGAGATACTAGATAAAGTTTTTTTTTTTTTGCATTGAATACTGGATGCTTAGTTTCATTAGTCAAGTTGAGAAATAGGTGTTTGATTCATAATGTACATTGAAATATGCTGTTGGAAATGCACAGTATGCTTCAGTCAATACTCCGCAAAGCATGAAAACAAATCCTAAATAAATACATCTGATTGGACATGTGCATTGAGTGTACAATATATCCAGTGTGTGACTTGCTCACCAATTTTGCCTGGGCTGTTTGTGGTTCCCATCCCCACAGTCTGACCCTTCACGGTCCACCTCTGGAACAGCTGCTTGAATACGGCAGACTCAGCACCATCGTTCACCGTCTCAATGTAGGTGGAGATAGGGTAGCCCTTCGCCTTCTTGTATGCCTAGAATTCCAACATTTTAGATTTTAAAATACAGATGTAGTATCTTCATTTTATCACTATTTTGTTGATGGAAATGTATCAACCCCTAAAAAAAATGCCATTAATAATAATCCACATAATAATTCACATTTCCTGTTGCTGCAGGGTTATTTTCCTGCTGTAGCAAATTGGCTCAAATGAAGATCCTACATCTGCAGGGATCACATGGAATTTAATTCCTGTGCTTTGTTTATTTTTTATTTTGCTAGGAACATACCAAAGTATTCATAAATTAGAATGGTATAGATATATGGGTGTCAGAGAGAGTGGGTAAGTAATTGAGTGGAGCTTAGATCCAGGACCGGAAGAAGTGTTTCAGGTGTTCAGCTGGTTTTCAGGGTTAACTTGTTTGGGTATTTGTTATCTGGGATGTACAAACTGAGGGTGTCTGATATTTTAGGACCCTCTATAACAGTCAGTCTGAATTCACCTAAAAAGCCTATAGGGGACAGCAAAGGGGTATCAAAAACATTGTAAACTAAAATGTGTCAAGAGGTCTGGCTCACTTCTGCTTTAGCCAAAGACTCAGACCGCTCTGTCTTGGAAGACTTCTTTCCTTTCCAGATAAAGATTTGTACACCACCTTGATCCAACAGAAAGCAGTCCTGTGAAATGAGTAGATTTAGATTAGATGTATGAAATTACATTTATTGATACCTCTACTGCTCAGTAAAGAGGATTACTGTTTGCCTGAGTTTCATTACTGCATTATACACTTCTGCACATAGGGACAATTCTATAATGTGGCATACCGAGAATGTCTGTAACTATCCCAACAGATTCATTTTCACTGTGCTAAAATTGAGAACCAGTTACTATGAGAACCAGTTACTGTAATCCTACATTTTCATGTGAGACTCATTTCTCATGGTTTTAAACCACAACCACAGTGTTTTTCTATTCCGTGTCCCCCTTGTAGTCTAGATGTATTAGTATTAGAAGTTTGGCTAATTTTGACTGTTGAGACCACATGCCAGCCCTCAAGGAGAATTATGTTTGTCTCTGTTCGATGTCACAGGGCAGAAATAGTCTCTATCAATTTTCATTAAAACATTACAGAACCAGTGTAAACCTTACATACTCATCTCTCTCAGCTTACACATTTCTCAGAAGGATCTTTATCATATCCTTATCATCTTCTCATTCTTGTATGAACCTGATCATGGTACTATGCTTAAGCTCAGTCAATATAATTTTATGGCACACACCCAAATACTGTACTTTGAATTGTGGATAAAAGTTTGCTTGAGTAGACAAGTGGCAACAAAGGACACTTTAAACCCCTTCTCCTTTAACATGCCCCCTCCCCTTTCCCTGATTGACAAGGAAACTGACCTCGTGATTCAACAGGTCCTGAGTCAGAGGCTTCACTGCCACCTCTTGCACCACAAGGTTCCCCTCGGCATCTGAGATACTGCACAGATCAATCAGAATGTTACACATTATTTTTAACAACGATTCTGTAAGCAAAATGGCTAGCTCTCACTAGCTAGTTCACATCTGCTACAGTACATGTTTATGACAGGGCAGAAGAGGTTATAATGTCTGTGACAGGTCATAAGAGCTTATAATGTCTATGACAGGTCATAAGGAGGTTATAAATATCACTGAGGTCATGTCAGTGGTCAGCACTCACTGAAAGAGCTTGACGCTGGACTTCAGCTTCTGGTCGACCACATCGTCAGATGCGATGCAGTCCTTGATGTCCCGTCTTGTCTCTCCTAGGTGCTGCTTCATCAGCTTCATGGCCTCCTCTGAAGACTTCTCGTCGTCCCCTTCCACCACACTCACCTGCGCCCGTCCCCCTCTCTCCCTGTCACGGATGTCTTTGGCTAGAGTCATCCCCTGCAGAGAAAAACAAATGTGACAATATCAACCAATCATACCACCACCAGGGGGCTAAGGCACTCTATAATGCTAGTTTTTAGCTGATGCTTTTATCCAAAGCACCCTGAGTGCAAGGGCAGTACTTTACAATAGAACCCACCACGCTCTACCTTATTGAGCCATTGGAACCACACTCCAGTCTTAGTTGTATGCTTTCCATGCTGGAAGGGTTAGGTTTAGAAGCAGAGGTCTTCCTACATAGGGGCCTTGTTTGAATACTTAAAAAATGCACCTGTCCTCGCTTCTCTTCCTTATGGTTATCACTGACCTGATATGCCTGAAGGTGTGAAAGCAATGTGGTTGAACCCCTGCTTTCACTTATCTCTCATTCATTATGCACCAAAGTAAAAAACAAAGTACCTTCCTGAAAACTTGGGGCGGTAAAATCCCAAAGCACAGACAGGAACTAAACTCTGACGAGATCTATCCATTTTGCTCGCAGCATTTAGACAAAGAAAATGTCACCCATAAAGTAGTATTGTATCTCTCTATGGCTGTGGTCTAAAAGGTCTCCTTACCTTGAGTCTTTCCATCCGGTTGCTCTTGGGTCCGTTCCACTGGATGATGAGGTTGCCCAGGTCCAGCAGGAACACATCCCCCTTGTTGAAGCTGCTCCAGCTCATGTCCACCTTTTCTCAAGTATGGATGGATGATGATGGAAAGGGGGATTGATGGGGATGGAAAGGACACATAGATGAATTCCATAATAATGTTCTCCAGCATTATATTAATGACATGATGCAGATAGGTCAGGTCAGCAGCTGTTGAATTGATGCTTTTACTAGATGCTGACATGTGGTTATATCAAGTAACATTGATACTGTAAGTATTTGTCAGTCAATTGTAGGCTACTGACAATCTCTTTAAGGGTTAACCCTATCAGTCCCGAGACCACAGCAAAAATCTGCTTTTAATTTATCTGACTTTCATTTATCTGCATGTCCAGCCCTTATATTTAGCCTCACAATGAAGTATTTTGCCATTTTCTTTTCAGGCCACATGTTCTACAAGTAGAACACAAAACAATTTGACATAAACAGTTGCATTCATGAGTTTTATTGACAGATGTCAATGAAAGAATAAGGTCCGCCAAAGGAAACATCGGATAAAAATGTACAGTAATGGTTTGCTCACTGGGAAATTAATATCCATGTAGTCAGTGACAAATGTTTGGAGTTTGTGACAGCGACTATGTGAGATTATTACAGTATTACAGACACTATGTCCTGGGATTTCCTACGAACTTTTATGTAGAACCCCTTATCTTCTAACGACTCTTGTGTAGCTTGTAGGCGTCATAGAGCAAAATGTGCATATTCGTGTGAGTCTCAGCTTTTCATAGATAGATTGTAATAGTTTGTAGCTCAAATAATTTGGACTCCACAGACATTTTTGTAAAAAGACCGGCACCGGGCCCCTTCGGGATACGCCACTCTAGCTCAGCCCCTGTTAATCACACAGAATGGTTGTTATCTGTGGATGCAGATGAAATAGACTAAACCAATGTTACAACCCAGAAGTCTGTAGCTCCAAAAAAAATGTAAGGGGTTAGAAGTCCAAAATGCACCGGCATTACGGGGGGACTAATTGAGTTAACAATCTCTTCTTCATTCTACTCAGCTTTCACAATAAGTAGTATGTCTGAGTTGAACATTAAAGGTAGACTCAGCGATATGACATACGTAGATGCAGAAAGTAAACAGCATAGTGCGTCAATTTCCGCAACAACTAAGAGGCTCAACTTCTCCGCTGTTTTGGTCCCGTGGCTACCACGCTGTATATAGCGTGATGCGAACCCTTGCGCATGCACAGATACTGTGTGTGACTGTGTGAGCGCAAAGTGTTGCATCTCGCTCATCTCAATATCTCCGGTGCTTTTGGCAATGTCATTTGTCTACCTTTAACCTTGGGATTTTTGTAACGGATAAGACACATCAGTGTAGTTTCTTGATAGACTTTCATGTGATTATGTCAGTGAGGAGCTACATGGTAGTCAGTGGCCCAGCAAATGTGACTAATAATTGATGTACTTGAACTTAAGTTGAATCCGCTGTACAAGAAGTGTGACTGAGCTGAGCAGAGAAGGAAGTGACTGAGCTGTTTCTAGTCAAGTAAAATGTAAAATATAGTAACTGAAGTAGACATCCTAGTCAAGGGCAGAGCAGAGGCTGTGAAGGCAGTATATTCCACAAGGGTCACGTTGGCTTGAGCTTTCTCACCTCTCCAGCCACCACATGCTTTTTTCCCTTGACATGGAGCAGGCGACGGATGTTGTAGGTGTTGGTCTCCACCTGCTTCATCCCAGATGCCACACCGCCCCTCTTGTAGCTGCAGAAAAACATGCACAAGAAATACTGTCAGATGACAGCCATGAATGATGGTCTGAAACCCTTTCTGTTGTTATTTGGCAATTACCAGGAGTGTATTCATTAGTGCAAATTGCAGCAAAAGGTTTAACAACGGAAACTTCAGGTAGATCCCTCCTTGTTTCAGCCCGTTTGTCTCTGTTCGGTTCCTAGTGAATACACCCCTGATGCTCTGAATACCATTATATGTTATGTACGTCAGCTTGCGGTCATGAAGGTTATTTCTGTTGTGCTGTCTCGCTCTGACTTACCTCCACTATTCTGCCTGACCACCATGCTGTTTCTCAGAAGCAACACTCTTAGAAAAAAGGGTTCCAAAATGGTCCCCACAGGAGAACCCTTTTTGGTTCCAGGTAGAACTCTTTTGGGTTCCATGTAGAACCCTCTGTGTAATGGGTTCTACATGGAACTCAAAAGGGTTCTATCTGGAACCAAAAGAGTTCTACCGGGAACCAAAAAGGGTTCTTCAAAGGGTTATCCTATGGGGACAGTCGAAGAACCCTTTTAGGTTCTAGATAGCATCTCTTTTTCGAAGAGTGCAGAATGCAGAAGTTTTGGTTGTGCCAACCTCCCCACAGTGATATTTTGTATACTTATCCGAGAAAGGTAACACCACAAGGGGAAATGGCCTTTTGCTGTAGAGAGGGGGAGGCGATATAATTTCACTATGACCTATAGTACATACCCGATGATGGCTACAGAAATACCAGTACCTACCTTTTTTCTCAAGATTTTGGTTCCTCCTATTGTCACCTCCTGTATATCAACAAGGTATTTCCCTTGCCACTATCTTTCATGGCTCCATAATCATTCGAAATATCTCGGTTTGAGGCTTTTAGGTATTGTGTTCATTGACAGTGCAACTAAACTGTGTGGGTGTTGGGTAGATGGTTTTTATGGGTGTTTAACAGATGTTTTATGGGTGTTTGGGTGTGTTATTTTGGGGTTAAGCCAACATGGTGGCTTATTTGAGTGATGAGTTGGAGGAGCTCAAGTTGTTTGTCTCTAGTGTAAATAGTGAAATTGCATTGTATACATGTGAGCTGCTGCTAATTTGTCTGTGTTCAATGGGAATCATTGTATCAGAGTTGTTCATTTTCTTTCCATACAGTAGGCAGGTGTAGGGTGTAGCCTACATAGCTCACATGATTCCCTGTTTGAAGTATCCGCGGAAGGTGTCGCTCTCATAGCCCTGCGCCTCGCGGTGCTGCACAGCCACACCCCCTAGGTGCTCGTCCATCATGGTGGTGTAGATGGCCGCCGCCCCCTGCTCGTCGTTGGAGGTGTCCTTTCCGAGCCAATAATGGAGGTCGTAGGTGAATGAGCTGTTCATCTTTTTGGTCTACGAGATTAGACAGAAACATGATGTTACTGGGATGTCACTTCATGTATTTGTTTGGAATACGCCATCATAATGTTACATTGATTACTTACGTATAGAATGACATAGCTGTCTCCTTCATAGAAATTCCCATATGCTTTAGAAGGGAAGGGCACCATCTCCATGGCCTGTCCAATTGGAAAATTGGAACCAGTTCACAATTGCATTTAATGTCATTGTGTGAAAAAGTTTGATAATGAACCTAACTTGGCATTTACATGTTCTGCATATTCATTATGTAGTAATGACAAAGGAACTATGTGCTGTTCTCTCACCTCTATCCTCCATATCTGCAGCCCTGGCGTGGTTTTATTGAGGACTTTTGCAACTTGGGTTTTGACCTGGATCTGTGGCATGGTGCCAGATTCAGCTTGGAGAAGATACCTAGAGGGAAGTGAATGTGTGAGTGAGTTAGTGGTCGTTCACTGTTTCTTAATGAAGCTAACCTATTCATATTCTGTTGTTTACATGTTCAATAGTATTCCATACAGATTCAGAGGGCTTGAAATAGCAAAAAACTAAATCAAAACAGACACAAACTCAATAAACTGTGCTGTTGCCTAGTGTTATCTGGCTCTGCTACCTTGCATGACTGGCTAAGGGGAGGAGTTGATCCATAAGTCTTTGAGTTGATCATTGGCAGAGTCAATGATGTGACCAGGGGTGAAAGTAGATTCAATTTCTTCCTTGTACGGGACCTACTATGTGTGCACCCGCTTGCGCGTGGGCCAGTCATAGAATTACATATAGAATCCCTATTAATTCAATAGGATCTCTGTGGGCCTGGTCAAAAAGATTTGTCATTTAACTTTTAAAATGTATTACCTTTTACTGTGGCATAAACACAACCAGTCTTGATGTTGTCATCTGATTGTCAAACAATCACTTCAAAGAGCTCTTTTACTAGGTTATCGCACGTTCATCCACTCGCAACATATTTCCAGCCTCCAAACAGTGGTGAATGGAAAGAGACATCTGTTACACAAAACACCAAAAAGTGTAACGGCATTTGGCGATTGTCATTAGGCCAGAATGTATACAGTACGCGTACTGCTGTCCGCTGCTGTTGGCCACTCATCTCTCTCTGCCTTGGCAAAATGTGAGTGTTCTCATCGAACCACATCGCATTTTGGAACATAGGCTATACCACCCGTTTTCAAGTCCATTCGCTAATTTTTCATGCGGTAATGATACATAATAGTGTAATAGCCTACAGTTTTCTTGGCATTTTGCTTAAATTATTTTGTTTTAATCATGTTTTACCGGTACGGCGTACCCCCACTATTTATTTTGCTGGGACACTGTACCGGACCATACTGCCTTACTTTCACCCCTGGATGTGACCTCAGTAGAGTATTTCCTGTCTCAGGTCACAGAATGGTAATGGGAGTATACTGCTCAAGAGTGTCTCAGTCTGTGCTTATTGTACTACACAAAGGAACCACATATTTTGAAGCCACCATTGCAGGAGGAGCGTAAACGGCTTGCTACAAAGCAGGAAGTGAAATTCTCAGTACCTCCCAGATGTTACCACAACCTTGAACACAGCAGTCTCCAATTTCCTGAGTGTCAAAACATATGGTACCTTACTACAGTGTCTACAGTTATACTGCTATATTGGTATATATAGGCATAGCTGAATGTCAACTTTTGCATCATGGTCTCATGGCTTATTTGTAATGAGGACCTGCCAGAATGATAATTAATCACACCCAAAAAAAAAATGCATCTAACGTGTGCTTCATTTCATAGTCAATTCCATTGTACAGCATACTTTAAATACAGGGATTGAGACATTTATGGGGCTCCTGAGGCGAAGCCAAGTTTTTATGATAATGCTAATATGATTTCTCGATCAATCTAAGGGAGAGGTGAGGAACAGTGGTCTTGTCAAGGCTTTAAACCTTAAGGACCGGTTTCTCGGACACATAGAGTAGGCTACTCTTATTTCAATGTCCACTGTGAAAAGGCTTGAATTGAATATCAAGTAGCGATAGTCCCCAACAACATATAGGAACAAAACATCCACTTAACATAACTATTTGTCCCCATTAATAGAATCTTCCTATAGAGAATCAGAGGGCCAGCTGGAACAGCATGCTGTGTGGCTGACTGGCTGGTAGGCTGGCTAGCTGTCTGGCTGCTGATAGACCATGGAAGCCCAGTTCAGTTTATGAGCAGTGGACCATAAAGTGATATTGTGCTGTGTTTGCACTCTGTCCCTTTCTTGTAACCACAGACTTACCTCCATATGGCTTCTAAACCAAACAGCAACCATCGCTGAAACAGACTAACAGGCCTATTACATTGTGTCCTTTGTAGCCTGAGTGTTAGTCAATCAATCATATGCCCCACCCCAACACCCTGGGTTGATTTAATGATGGGTATAAGGCTCATAACTACAAAGCCCAATGATTCACAGCTTCATTAACTCATTACTGTATGGTTGGTCCATGCTGGTTTGTGTGTGTTTGTTGTTTAAATGTGTATCACTGCTTGACATATTGCTTATTTTACCTTTCTGTTCCATTCAGTGTATGTATGTCCTCTTTCTGATTTGCACATCCCAGCCAAATTCATGACACTGAAAACTATTAGATTTTTGTTACTGTAAATTGTCAAATGGAATAAAACCAAGTGAGTGATTGTTCACAAAATGTTCATTTCAAATTAATGATAAGTGAGACTGTTGCACTGATAATGAGCCTTTCTACTTGCGAAGTAACCACGGTATAGATGCGTGTTTGCTTATCATAAAACAATAACTTTGAATCTACTTATCAGCAACATTTTTCCTCCCCTAACTGCTGTTCAGAGGTCTGTTGATAGCGTAATATAATAATGAGTCATCACAACGACGCTTATCTTGTCTGCGTCATGATTGGATAATAGGGCGATTCCAGGCCTGCGGGAGCTGAAAATATTTTTTGCATCTCAGATTGTTCTAGCAATTCTCACATAGGAACTTCATTGGGAGGAAGGATGTTTAACATGGTGTTTAAATCATCTTTTTTAGACCTATACATGCCTCCTGTAAAACCCTATAATCTGTGAACCGTACATGATACAGACCACATCTTGACGTCATTATACTCCTTATAGTGTTCTCTCAAATATGGAGTATGTCTAGATTCTGTAATACAAATTTCACATTCATTTATTCAACATTAAAAATATTAATATTCTACACTTTTTGATTTTGCTTATTTTTAGACATATTGTTACTAACAATATACACATTTCCAGACTGGGCTCAATACGTCATTTAAATAAATGTTTCTTCTATAATCAATATCAATACATTTGCAGGCAAAAAATGTCTCTACTTTAGCTGATAGCTATATATCTGATACACGTTGAGGTCCATTTTCCCTAGCTAACCTCCCAAGGTTCCACAATGACCAAGACATCATTTCTCCTTAAATGTCCACATCAATACAGAGCTCATTCGACATAAACGCCCATTTGCTCATTCCACATAAACTCCCATTTGCTACATCACTTCTTCGCGAAAACATACAGAAACTGTTTGTTAGCTTGGCACGTTATACAAAGGACTCACCTGATGTGGAGGGACCAGGAGTTGAGAGGAGAGGGTGAAATGTGTCACTACCTGCACATCTCACCACCCCATTTACAGCACCTGAACTTTGTCTTCTCTCTCTCTCTCTCTCTCTCTCTCTAACACACACACACACATGCATGCACACACACGCACACACTTTTGATTGTCGATTACTCTAGTGACCATATATGGCAAGCAGAGGTGATATGCATACAGGTGTGTGTGCCTTCTCTTATCAAGTGATGAGCAACCTTGTTCCTAGACCCCACAGTGTGTTCCTGTACAAAGCTCCATGAGCACTAACATGTGAAGGTCATAGGAGCACATCAACTTTGGTGTAAAATGAAGTCTATAATTTTGAGTAATTAAGGCATATATACATTTTTCAACCATTTTCCATCCTGAAAATTAGTAATAAGCAAATGCTTAGATTTCTGGTATAAAATATGGAAAAGGGGTCTTACAATACATCTAGCATGAAGTCTTAAAAGGTGTTAGAAATACACTACATGCCCAAAAGTATGTGGACACCTGCTCGTCAAACATCTCATTCCAAAATCATGGGCATTAATATGGAGTTAGTCCCCCCCTTTGCTGCTATAACAGCCTCCACTATTCTGGGAAGGCTTTCCACTAGATGTTGAAATATTGGTGTGGAGACTTGCTTCCATTCAGCCACAAGAGCATTAGTGAGGTCGAGCACTGATGTTGGGTGATTAGGGCTGGCTCGCAGTCGGCGTTCCAATTCATCCCAAAGGGGTTCGATGGGGTTGAGGTCAGGGCTCTGTGCAGGCCAGTCAAGTTCTTCCACACTGATCTCAACAAACCATTTCTGTATGGATCTCGCTTTGTGCACAGAGGCATTGTCATGCTGAAACTGGAAAGGGCATTCCCGAAACTGTTGCCACTAAGTTGGAAGCACATAATCGTCTAGAATGTCATTGTATGCTATAGCGTTAACATTTCCCTTCATTGGAACTACGGGGTCTAGCCCGAACCATGAAAAACAGCCCCAGACCATTATTCCTCTTCCACTAAACTTTACAGTTGGCACTCTACATTGTGGCAGGTAGCGTTCTCCTGGCATCCGCCAAATCCAGATTCATCCGTCGGACTGCCAGATGGTGAAGCGTGATCCATCACTCCAGAGAACGCATTTCCACTGCTCCAGAGTCCAATGGTGGCGAGCTTCACACCACTCCAGCCGACGCTTGGCATTACCCATGGTGATCTTAGGCTTGTGTGTGGCTGCTCGGCCATGGAAACCCATTACATGAAGCTCCCGACGAACAGTTATTGTGCTGACGTTGCTTCCAGAGGCAGTTTGGAACTCGGTAGTGAGTGTTGCAACGTGCTTCAGCACTTGGCGGTCCCGTTCTGTGAGCTTGTGTGGCCTACCACTTTGCGGCTGAGCTGTTGTTGCTCCTAGACGTTTCCACTTCACAATAACAGCACTTACAGTTGACCGGGGTAGCTCTAGCAGGGCAGACATTTGAAGAAATGACTGTCCTATGAAGGTGGAATAATGAACGTCACTGAGCTCTTCAGTAAGGCCATTCTACTGCCAATGTGTGTCTATGGAGATTGCATGGCTGTGTGCTCGATTTTATACATCTGTCAGCAACGGGTGTGGCTGAAATAGCCATATCCACTAATTTGAAGGGGTGTCCACATACTTTTGTATATATAGTGTACATCAAAACACAATAATGTTGAAGTAAAGACCCTTGCCAACTAATATCAACATTTATATTTAGTTTTGCAGAAATTATTTGCCTTCTGTAAGTATAAGAAATATTGCCTAGTGTCTTTCCATTCTGTTACCAAAAATGCACGTCCTCAAAACACTCATTCCGATTTGCACATCCCAGACAAATTCAAGATGCTGAAAACTATTAGGTTTTTGTTGTTGTAAATTGTCAAATGGAATATATCAAATGTATGATAAATGAGACTGTTGCACTCATAATGAGCATTTCTACTTGCGGAGTAACCACAATATAGATGCGTGTTGGTCATAAAACAATAACTTTAAGTCTACTTATCAGGACCATTTTTCCTCCCCTAACTGCTGTTCAGAGGTCTGTTGATAGAGTAATATAATAATGACTTATCACAATGACATTTATCTTTCTGTCATGATTGGGTAATAGGGCGTTTCCACGGCAGTGGGAGCAGAAAATATTTTTGGTATCTCATGTCGCTCTGGCAATTCTCACATGGCTTCGAACCGATGTTTAGAGGTGGGGTGCTGAGATTTTTTTTTAAATCCCCAACTATTTTTGTCCGCTCATACAGGAGTAACAAAGGCCCAGTGCACACATTAAAAAATATGTATAGATATTTGTAAAATTGTATTTTGTCATTTTTAAATTCTGATTTATCAGTTGGTGCTGCAGCACCCTCATTACCACTACTTCCAGCGGCTATGAATTCTCACATAGGAACTTCATTGGGAGAAAGGATATTTAACATGCTTTTTACATTTGTATCACAAACAATTGTTTTGAAAATCATGATGAAATTGGCCATTTTAAGCCTTTTTTAGACCTTTACATGCCTCCTGTAAAACCCTATAATCTGTGAACCGTACATGATACAGACCACATCTTGATGTCATTATACTCCTTATAGTGTTCTCTCAATTATGGAGTATGTCTAGATTCTGTAATACAAATTTCACATTCATTAAATGAATTTGAAATGTGTATTTCAGAATCTAGACATACTCCATATTTCAGAGAACACTACAAGGAGTATAATGACATTTAAAACATGAATATCTCAAAACTACCCTTTTTGATTAGGCTTATTTTAGACATATTTTTGTAACAATATACTCTTCAAACACATCACATTTCCAGAGTGGGTTCAATACTTCATTCAAATAAATGTTTATCCTATAACCAACACTCCTATAACCAATATCAATACATTTGCCGGCAGACATTTGTACTACTTTAGCTGATAGCTACATCTGATACATGTTGAGGTCCATTTTCTCTGGCTAACCTCCCATGGTTACACAGTGACCAAGACATCATTCCTCCTTAATTGTCCACATCAATAGAGCCATTCCGCATGAACGCCCATTTTCTACATAATGTCTTTGCGAAAACACACATAAACTGACCGTTAGCTTGGTATGTTGTACAAAGGACTCACCTGGTGTGGAGGGACCAGGAGTGGAGAGGAGAGGGTGAGATGTGTCAGGATCTAGCAGGCAGCAGCAGACTACCTGCACATCTCACCACGCGGTTTACAGCACCTGAACTTTGTCTTCTCTCTCTCTCTCTCTCTCTCTCTCTCTCTCTCTCTCTCTCTCTCTCTCTCTCTCTCTCTCTCTCTCGCTCTCTCTCTCTCTCGCTCTCCTCTCTCGCTCTCTCTCTCTCTCTCTCTCTCTCTCTGTTTGCCATATATGGGGAGAGAGGTGATATGCATACAGGTGTGTGTGCCTTCTCTTATCTAGTGACAAGCGACCTTGTTCCTAGACCCCAGTGTTTAGGGGCATTTCCATGTAAAAAGCTTCATGAGCTCATAGGAGCATATGAAATAGATGCACAAAAACTGTTACCAAAAGCCACATATCTTTAAGATATTTTCAAATTTCTCTAACTCATTTTACTGATAACAATTTGGTTTATGATTTATTAGCTGATTAAAACATTTTTTTTGGAACAGAATGACTGCATGAATTGGCTACAATGAGAATTCATAGTAGTCACAAACCACAGTTGGGTCACCTGCTACTGTCCTCCCTTCCACTGGCATACTGTTATGTTCAGCTCATAACTGTTTTCTTTCTCTTTCTCTTTCTTTCGTGTGGTGGTCAAAGCAAGTGTGAAAACAGTCTGGACAACCCCTCCAAGTTAATGTCACCTCTCCTGGCTCTTACTGACACCTACCCATGAGCCCCTCTTTCCACGTACTGTAACCAGCTCTCTCATCCACTGAGCACCGACCGACACCAGACGTCAATGGATGTTGAAAAGTGGTTGAAATTTTGTCCCTCCAAATCTTAACCAATCATAGACGTCTGTTTCACAGGTTTGCACAGTACAGTACAGTACACAAAAGTAGAGTAGAAGTCAGTACAATACAGTACAGTACAGAACAGAACACTTGAGTAGAGCTTAGTACAGTACAGTACAGTACAGTACAGTACAGGGAAGAACACTGACCCCTCTCATTGAAGCCACAAAGTTCAAGGCAGACCGTGGTACTCTCAGCAGGTATTCTTTGCAGAAAACAAGATTGGCAATCTTTGTGTAAAAAAAATATATATTTAGAAGACAATCATGGAACCAATAATTGCTTCTATTACACCAGATGTATGTCCTCAAACCGATTATTTTAAAATCGCACACAGAAGTAGTTAGGATAGTTTAGTTGCTAATGGCAGCCTGCAGTACTCCGGTCGGCCTTCATCTTGAGATATTAAATGAGAAGGGGCAGCACTGAGCTAGCCTGCAACGTCACTTCTTTGAGTAGCTCAAACTGTGCATGTTATGTATCCATGAAAGACCATCTTAACTTACATCCTTGGCTTCAAATGTGCTATTTAGTCTTCACATAGGAATGAATGACGCCTTTTAGGCTCACTTTGAGGCAAGCAACACTGAAGCATGCATAAGAGCACCAGCTGTTCTGGACGACTGTGTGATCACGCTCTCCGTAGCCGATGTGAGCAAGACCTTTAAACAGGTCAACATTCACAAGGCCGCGGGGCCAGACGGATTACCAGGACGTGTACTCAGAGCATGCACGGACCAAGTGGCAAGTGTCTTCACTGACATTTTCAACCTCTCCCTGACCGAGTCTGTAATACCTACATGTTTCAAGCAGACCACCAAAGTCCCTGTGCCCAAGAAAGTGAAGGTAACCTGTCTAAATGACTACTGCCCCGTAGCACTCACATTGGTAGACATGAATTACTTTGAATGGCTGGTCATGGCTCACATCAACACCATCATCCCGGAAACCCTAGACCCACTCCAATTTGCATACCGCCCCAACAGATCCACAGATGATACAATCTCAATCACACTCCACACTGCCCTTTCCCACCTGGACAAAAGGAACACCTATGTGAGAATGCTGTTCATTGACTACAGCTCAGCGTTCAACACCATAGTGCCCTCAAAGCTCATCACTAAGCTAAGGACCCTGGGACTAAACACCTCTGCCACTGGATCCTGGACTTCCTGACGGGCTGCCCTCAGGTGGTAAGGGTAGGCAACAACACATCTGCCATGCTGATCCTCAATACTGCGGCCCCTCAGGGGTGCGTGCTTAGTCCTCTCCTGTACTCCCTGTTCACCCACGACTGCGTGGCCAAGCACGACTCCAAACACCATCATTAAGTTTGCTGATGATACAACAGGGTAGGCCTGATCACGTAAACGAGTGAGGACAGCCTATAGGAAGGAGGTAAGAGACCTGGCAGGGTGGTGCCAGGACAACAACCATACCTCAATGTGAGCAAGACAAAGAGCTGATCGTGGACTACGGAAAGGAGGGCCGAAAAGGCCCCCATTAATATCGACGGGGCTGTAGTGGTGCGGGTCGAGAGTTAAGTTCCTTGGTGTCAACATCACCAACAAACTATCATGGTCCAAACACACCAAGACAGTCATGAAGAGGGCACGACAACACCCTTTCCCCCTCAGGAGACTGAAAAGATTTGGCATGGTTTTTACAGCTGCACATCGAGGCATCCTGATGTGTTGCTTCACCGCCTGTTATGGCAACTGCTCGGAATCCGACCGTAAGGCGCTACAGAGGGTAGTGCGTATGGCCCAGTATATCACTGGGGCCAAGCTTCCTGCCATCCAGGACCCCCTGTATATAGCCTCGTTATTGTTATTTTATTGTGTTACTTGTTATTTTATTTTTTAATTGAGTTTATTTAGTAAATATTTTCTTAACTCTATTTCTTGAACTGCATTGTTGGTTAAGGGCATGTACAGTGGGGAAAAAAAGTATTTAGTCAGCCACCAATTTGTGATGTTCTCCCACTTAAAAAAGATGAGAGAGGCCTTGTAATTTTCATAATAGGTACCCCGTCAAACTATGACAGATAACCCTTTGTTGGCAATGACACAGGTCAAACGATTTCTGTAAGTCTTCACAAGGTTTTCACACACTCTTGCTGGTATTTTGGCCCATTCCTCCATGAAGATCTCCTCTAGAGCAGTGATGTTTTGGGGCTGTCGCTGGGCAACACGGACTTTCAACTCCCTACAAAGATTTTCTATGGGGTTGAGATCTGGAGACTGGCTAGGCCACACCAGGACCTTGAAATGCTTCTTACGAAGCCACTCCTTCGTTGCCCGGGCGGTGTGTTTGGGATCATTGTCATGCTGAAAGACCCAGCCACGTTTCATCTTCAATGCCCTTGCTGATGGAAGGAGGTTTTCACTCAAAATCTCACGATACATGGCCCCATTCATTCTTTCCTTTACACGGATCAGTCGTCCTGGTCCCTTTGCAGAAAAACAGCCCCAAAGCATGATGTTTCCACCCCCATGCTTCACAGTAGGCATGGTGTTCTTTGGATGCAACTCAGCATTCTTTGTCCTCCAAACACGACAAGTTGAGTTTTTACCAAAAAGTTATATTTTGGTTTAATCTGACCATATGACATTCTCCCAATCCTCTTCTGGATCATCCAAATGCACTCTAGCAAACTTCAGACGGGCCTGGACATGTACTGGCTTAAGCAGGGGGACACGTCTGGCACTGCAGGATTTGAGTCCCTGGCGGCGTAGTGTGTTACTGATGGTAGGCTTTGTTACTTTGGTCCCAGCTCTCTGCAGGTCATTCACTAGGTCCCCCCGTGTGGTTCTGGGATTTTTGCTCACCGTTCTTGTGATCATTTTGACCCCACGGGGTGAGATCTTGCGTGGAGTCCCAGATCGAGGGAGATTATCAGTGGTCTTGTATGTCTTCCATTTCCTAATAATTGCTCCCACAGTTGATTTCTTCAAACCAAGCTGCTTACCTATTGTAGATTCAGTCTTCCCAGCCTGGTGCAGGTCTACAATTTTGTTTCTGGTGTCCTTTGACAGCTCTTTGGTCTTGGCCATAGTGGAGTTTGGAGTTTGACTGTTTGAGGTTGTGGACAGGTGTCTTTTATACTGATAACAAGTTCAAACAGGTGCCATTAATACAGGTAATGAGTGGAGGACAGAGGAACCTCTTAAAGAAGAAGTTACAGGTCTGTGAGAGCCAGAAATCTTGCTTGTTTGTAGGTGACCAAATACTTATTTTCCACCATAATTTGCAAATAAATTCATTAAAAATCCTACAATGTGATTTTCTGGAAAATTTTTTCCCTCAATTTGTCTGCCATAGTTGACGTGAACCTATGATGAAAATTACAGGCCTCTCTCATCTTTTTAAGTGGGAGAACTTGCACAATTGGTGGCTGACTAAATACTTTTTTTCCTCACTGTAAGTAAGCATTTCACAGTAATGTCTACAACTGTTGTATTCGGCGCATGTGCCAAATATAATTTGATTTGATCGATGGCTTCGTCCATTCATAAACAGTCATTGAGTACAGTAAAGCACACTAGAGTAGAGTACAGTATAATTTACTGTATTGTACTGTACTATACTGTACTGTACTGTACTGTACTATACTGCACTGTACTGTACTCTGCTGTGCTGAGCTATGCTCTACTGTGCTCTAATGTGCTGTACTGTGATGTCCAAACTTGTGAAACATAGACGTCTATGATTGGTGCAGATTTGGTCCGGACTGGACCAACCAAATTTGGTCTTGTTTGGGGGCAGAGCCATTAGAATAATAGCCAGTGTGTAGAATAATACCTAAACATGCAAAGGAGGATATTACATTTTTCTACCTTTGTGTACCTATTCAGGATACATCACCATGAATAAAATAATGCATTTCTGTATAGTACAAATCAGGGACCAATGATGTCAGTCTGTACCGGGTGTTAATCCACTTCACTTACTGTAGTTCAATAAGATTTTTTTTTTTTACTCTAGGTGTCATGTCATATCTGACACCCCATTCTTAATTCGGAGTAGATATTTAACAGAGTTTTTAGAAAACGTGGACAAAAACGGAGGGAGATTTTACCTTCATTCTGTTACCAAACATTACACCTGCACTGTTCTTTGAGTAAATGTGTTTTTGTAAAATTTTCAGTGGAAACTGTTAAAAGTAGTCCTTGTGCATAGAGTTGTATGGTTGGTTTAACTTTGCAATCAAT